TAGAGGTTTTATATGGCTCCGACCAAATTACCTTGGCTTCGTAGAAACAATCACTGTGCTTGGCAAAAACTTTCTCTCCTTCTTCGAATTGGCTCAAGCCCGGAGAAGGAGGAGGAGGCAAGTCGTCGCCGTCGCCGTCGCAAGACTCCGTATCAGAGCCGGAGTCCCGTCGTGTGTCTCCGATGAAATCGATTGTAGGATCTGTCTCTGAGACGGAATCATGCTTCACGGTGGCGTTAGGGCTTCCCATCTAAAGAGGCGGAGAGTGGAGAAAGGAGAGTGAAGAGAGCGATTGCAATGGCGGCTTCGAATCTCGTCGAAAAATTTCCGGGAAAATTGGGGGAATTTCCCAATCGACGCAAATTTTCAGATAAATCTCAAATTTATCTGGACTTATCAATGAACAATACGAATATGGGCTTTAATATTCAAGCCCATTGAAAACATTTTTCCAGGCCTGTTTTACCAATTTGATACTATTATTTTACTTGGGGAACAATGCAATTAAATAAATCCGTAACATATTAAAAGACCCGAAGATACTGATAAAAAGACATAAAAGCCCCTGGTCTATTTTGACGTGAAATGGTCAACAATAAGGGTCGGTAGTTGAGCTATAGTGGGTCTCTACCGTGTAAGGTTATTTCAGTAATTTAGTATTTTTTATTTATCGAAGTATTCTTGTCCATTAAGTCTCGGCTCCATTAATAAAAGGTCTCACCTTTGGGTTTTTTTTTTTCCTTTTCTTCATTGACATTGTCTCTCTCACAAGGGTCTCAAGCTTTCTTCTTGTGAAGCTGACATGTGCAAGTAAACCACACGACGAAGAGTTGGTCTCTAATTTATCTGATTAAAAAAGTTTTATCTGAGATTAATTAAAGAAGAGACTCAGGTTTTTCGCCGATTTGTGGAGATTCAGGATCGGAAATGGAAGATGATATGTGGGCAGTTTCTTCTTCTGGTTCTTCGAGGAGCCATCGATCAGGAACAGCTGCTAAGTATCAATTTGGTTAGAATCCAAATCCCCTAAAAAATTTTCTAAATTTGATTTAGGGTGAAAAATTCGAACTTTTAGGGTTTATGATTTTAGATGGGTCTGAATTGGGTTTCGATAAATTTGCGATTCGTAGGGTCTCTTTGTGTACTTCATCTTTAAGAAAAATTGTAGCTTTACGTTTGCTTTAGATGAGATTACTTATTTTTGGGGGGTTTTTTGCTCTCAGGTTAATTTGGTTTTGATTTATGGCGAAAATTTTCAGGTTGTTCTTATCTAGATAATGGAGAAGATTTTGACGAAGATGATGATGTAGCAGTGGATTACCCATGTCCGTTTTGCTCCGATGATTATGATTTAGTTGAATTGTGTCACCATATTGACGAAGAACATCAACTTGAAGCTAACCATGGGGTATGTGAAATTTCACATCTTACTATACAAAAAGTAGTTTAGGTATCGATTAAAAGGTTTCTAGAGCTTTACATACTTGCTTTAGAAGGTAGGAGATTGAGAAATAGGCTCCTATCTTTGATCTGAGTAGTAGTGTTTAGATTGATACTTTTGGATTCCACTTGCAATTGTGAATAGGTTCAGATGTGAAACATAGCCCTTGATCTTCGATTACTCCGTTGACATAACTCTCCTTTAGAAGCATTGATCAGGTAAGGGTTTCAGGAGAACATATTTTAGCTTGACATACTTGGTTTTAGAGGGAAGGATTTTGAGAAACATGTCCACTCAATATTTGGACTTTTTTTAGAATGATGCCTTTGAGAAATCCGATTGCAATTTTTAATAGTTTCTATTGAGAAACATGCTATCTTCGACGAATTCTGAATTGATCGGTTTCACGATTTCAGGTTCTGTGAATTTCCACATCTTACAATTTCTTTTTGGTTGTTTGTGCTTTTCAGATATGTCCGGTTTGTAGCAAAAGGGTGAAGATGCATATGGTGGATCATATAACCACACATCATAGAGATGTCTTGAAGATATCCTTTTTTTATATTCAAAACCTTCTCTTAAAGCCGATTTCCAGTCTTTTAATGAATGAGATTTATTAAAGTTTCCTTGACAGAAACTTTACAGTGAGCAGAAGCAAACATCATACATGGAAGATTCATATTCATCGGATAAATATCTTCATCTTGATGACTTGCCGCCATCTATGAATCATCATCATACCTCTAAAACCGTTGTTTCCGATCAATTTCTATCGTTCATCAACAATTCTCCACTGCCGAATCAGACCAAACATCTGCAGCCTGATTCAAGTTTAGAAAGCATGAATCCGATCAAGGATTCTTCGACTGAAAAAGACGGGAAATCTTCTCCTCCTTTATCAGATACTGAACAATTGGAGAAGGCAAAGAAGTGTGAGTTTGTACAGGGACTGTTGTCATCAGCCATGTTTGATGATGGATGTGACTTCTTCTGAGTAAAACAAAAGTAAATGTGAAGGCTCTAATGGCGATTGGCGAAGGCAGGTCATTGGCATTGTTGTAATTTTATTCAGTTCTAGTTATATATGTATCTTTTTCTCAGAC